TTGAAGGCAGTAATGCTTAAATGCTGAGGACAATACAGTGCTGCAATCCAAAAGATGGAAACAGCAATTTGGGTGGGAGCCACAGGCACTGAGGTTACCCCATGGACCAAAGGACTGCTTCTTATAAGTGTATCAGCTGCATCAGGACTTCTGTTGACTCAGTGACAATTAAAAATACTTATTTTAATGTAGTTTTGTGGGTATTTGTAGTATCCTGGGGCAAATTTAATTTCAATGTAAGGTTGGAGCCAGCTGATCTATAGAGACTGTATCTCCGATGTGGTTCTTGCTTCCTGCTGCATGGTAATGCTCATGGGAGGGATGGAATATTCACAGTGTAAATGCACATCTTAGTTCTGTGTGTTCTGCTTTATTGTATGGTTCCCAGTTCTAAGCAATAAAGAAAATGTATCATCGTCATTCAGCTATGAGTGAAACCAAACAATCTTCCAGATCCTTATTGATATTCTGCTCTAAGGTTTGAGGCCTTTCAGCTATGTGTCACGTCATCTCCCAGTTTAAACTTTGATAGCTAATTCTGTTTTGTTTTTTGTGTGGAAGTTTTTTTGTTTAATATTTCTAGGAAGTACATCTTTAAGGAGAATCTCTTTAGGAAAGCTTTGTTTAGAAAGTGTTGAGAGATAGTAGCAGGTTGGTTTATTTATGAAGGGAGTGTTTGCACTCCCCTACACACTACAGTGTTGAACAAACATATATTATCTTTTGGCATGTACATGTAATTATGATAATGGTAAAGTTCACAAATAATTTCAATTCCTAAATTTCGCCTCAAAGGCAATGAGAAATTTAATAGGCACAGACTGTTGCTTTTTCATCTTTGCAGTTACTGAGAAAGTAGATCCGTGGCTCCATCTGCTGGGGTTCAAAACCAGAAGCACAAGAAATTGCTGTTTATTGAAAGCACTGAGTCCTGGCACACTTGTGAGAGTAGCTGCTAGTCAAAAGTTGAAATAAAAAGTACTGCATTTTCTTTTTAAGCTGGTAAATTGATAGATTTCTCTGGAGATACTGGTGTAATATTTTGAAAATATTGCCTATTTTAACACTTGTGGTTTTCTTCCTGCAGTTACATTCACTGTCTGAAAGTTGAGCAATTTGTCTCTTTTGACAAGATACAATAATATATACAGTACAGAGCTACTTGTATAATTTTTACCCTATGTGTTTTTTGTAGTCAGACAACTTCTGTAGGCAAGATAGGTAATATTACAATATTAGCTGGGTTGTTCCTCCGAAGTTCTCCTGTGGGGAAAGAATAAGGCCAAAGTATAAAAAACTTGACTCCTTGGTTTTCTCTGGCAATTAAACATGTGACATTAAGATATTTTTGAGATTAATTTGCGTTTTGCAGTATCTTGGTGCAGACCAACATGAAAGGAGGCTATTTCCATCTGATTAACTTTTTAAATTTCTTTTGAGAGGGAAAATATTTTTCTCACACTTGGGTTTCTCATTTCTATTGGTCTGAGCACAGGAGTTCAGAAACTCTGAGCTGTAGCCAAGCTCTTGAGGAAGAGAAGATTCTGAAACAATCCACTATTACTCTGCCTATAATTGTTTTCAAAGCAGCTTACTCATTTTCTGTCATTATATCAAACTCAGTCTTGTGTAATGCCAGCTGCAAAAATGTGCATCAAAAATCCGTTCCATAAAAAGTAAAAATTGTCTTTTTCAGCACTGAGTAAACACTTCAGTTTCAGCAGTAACTGGATTTTAGAATTCAAAAGTACTACAAAGTAATGGTTGTGTATTTGATTAAGATTCAGAACTCCATACAGAATAGCGTGACTGTTTTCTTGAGTATTCTCATTATGTGCTAATATATTTTGTACTAAGCAAGAAGCCTAAACAAAGGTGTCTTTCTCTGCCCTTTTCTTTTTCCTCTGTTGAAGATTTTAAGAGTGATGCCAGTAGGAACAAGGATTTTAGATAAAGAAAATTAATGGTTTAGTAGAGAAGATGTAGCTGGAGTGAATTTCACTCTGTAATAAGGGTTACTGCTGTAAAGTTGTAGGTACAAATACATTAAATGTTGAGACTGAAAGGAAACACCTCCTATGTTAATAAGACATATATGACAGTTTATAACTCCTCTGCTGTAAGAAAAAAAATTAATGGAAGGTGAGGTTTCATTAGTATCTGAAAGTATTGGTACCTTGAAATACTAGTTATTTTTCCTTGTGTTGCAAGTAGAAAAGTTGTCATTTTAACTTTGTGCTAAACTTTGGCAATTTAAGAATGCAAATGTATGTGTGTTTTTAAGTGATATATAATTCTATTAATTAATATCAAAAATATTACTAGAATGTTTACAACATTCAGACAGTGCATGCACACGGACATGCATATATACAGGTATATTTGTACAACATTGTATGTTTTAAGACTGTTTTGTGGCGGCTGTTGTAGACCTAGGAGGAGCAGTATATTGTGCTTAGTTGATATTTTATGGGTGAGGATTTCTGCTGCTTAGACAATAAGAGGAATGCTGACAGTTTGCTTTCTTCCTTCAAGAGACAGGAAAGGAGGAATCAACTGAATAAATGCCATTTTGTTATCTGCTGTTAGAGGCAATGTATTATATTAAAATTTATTACCACCTGGAAGGCTAAGGCTATCTTTATTCAGGGTCAATCCTTAGGAATAGTCTCTTCTTATTTAGACACAGTCTTTGCATTCCCAGTGCTAGTTACATTGGGCTTTTTGCTCTGTTTTTTTCTTCTTTTTACTCTCAGCTTGGAAAATTTTGTAGTTATAAACTAGGATGACTTGTTCTTCAGTGAAGTGACAACTTAAGCTCTGGGCAGGAGAGAGAACAGTGGCAGCAAATGTTTTATACAACCATAAAATGTCTAAAGAGATTTAATATATTTCAAAAACTACTTTATCTACTGCTATTGTTAAACTGCATTATAAAGTCTTTGTTTCAGCAATTATGATCTCTCCTTAAAATACCTTGTGAGGGAAGAACCCTCACAATCTCTAAAAATCTTGTATGTGCTTATCCATACATACCAGTAAGCCTGCAGGTAGAGATTCACAACAGCAAAGAAACCCTGACACAGTTAGGGTCTTGAAGTAGTTAAAGAAGCCAGAGAAGGGGAAGGATGAAGAGAGTTTCATGTGGCTTTCAAAAGGCAATTTTCTTTAGGTAGAGTTATGGAAAAGTGAACAAATTGGGGTAACACCAGCTCCTTGGGGAGCTCACAGGGCCTGGGATTTTCTGCGCTGTCCCCCCCTGCAGTTGCTCTTGCACAATGGTCTGAATGCAAACTTTCACAGCTGTCAGTGGAATGGAGCAGCTGGCTGTGCTTCAGTTCCCAGTGGATGTAAAGTTATTCTGGTAACTCCCGTCCTGTATTGACAGTTTCCCCCCAGTTAGACTGAATTCATGGAGGGGTTTCAATCAAAGAACCTGGGCATTGTCTAGGTCAGGCTTTAGCTTGCCATCAGAGATCACCAGTGACTTCTAGCAATTAGTAGCTATTCTCCAGCTCTTTTTCTCATCCTAAACTACAAAATTGCTTATTGATTCCTGGTGTTTGTGAATAGTGTGGCTGCTTGGCACTGCATGTTCGGAGTGGAGCTGTACTAGCATTTTAAAAAAAAATGTCAACTGCAGAAAAGTCCAGTCCTATCTCTAGTCAGAAACAGTCTTTGAACTTACTTGTTACCCTTTCTTTCACAGTTACTTAACATATATGTAGTTTTACTAATACTTAAAAATTCTGTTTCAATTTATATACATATATATGTGTGTATGTATACACTACCTAAATACATATACTGCTCACAGATACTTGCTTTAGCCACATAATACATATTAAATTGCTCATTAGATGAATTACTTTTTTTTGCACTTGACATACAAACATAGTCCAGACAAATGACTTGGGGTTTATTTTTATGTGCTGAGCACCAGCAGCTCATGAAGTTACATTGGGGCAAAATTCCTACAGCCTCTCGTGTTCTTGTGATTATATATTACACGTTTTTATTGCTCTCTCTCTCTGTGGTCCTGTCTTTCACAGTGGTAGTTTATTATAACGAGAAGAAAAAGGAGATAGAACTGGTATATATTTCATAAAGATTAATATTCTTCCAGTACATCTGCAGTGCTGATCAAAATAAGTTTTGTTTAAATGTTTATAAAAAACCACCAAGTACATGTGCATGGAAGCACTTCTCACTAATTTCAAAAAACATGAAAAATTAGCTAATTATAGGCAAATAAGCTGTGAGATGATTTCAGAGAAGTGTTCAAAGGAAACATTACAGCTCAAATCTAGAAATATGATCCCTTATTTTGACAGTAAATTCTTTGAACTTACAGTTCTTTAGGAAGATTTTTTGGTGTTGCATATTTTGGCTGGACTGCAATGCCATAATATTCTGTTACTGTGAAGTGATACATACAGCCTTTAACAGAAACACATAAAGTAATTAAAATCCAGGTGAAAGTTCAGTGAAGGTTGGAAAATTTAAATCCTCTTATTTCATGCAAAAATCTCAGTATTTAGAAATGCAAAATAATGAGTTGTTCTACTCAGATAATGAAAAATCAACTATTTGCTGAGAGTGCTTACACTTTATAGTAACTTAAACGAGGATGCTTGGGTGATATATTTGTGTATCTTTTGGCATTTAGATTTTATACCATTACCCAGTGTAACGGTATACAATACTGCTGTACAATACCATATATAAAATTGTATCTTTTGTTAGCAGAGTATTTTCAGCCACATGTTGCTCAATTCTTAGTGCAGGGTGTTGCACATCGCTTTGAAATGCTAAAAGTCTTCAGTAATGTGTATGCAACAAATTGATGTTGACATCTTGTGTATTCAGGCTGACTGACAAATCTGTTTGAGTAGTCTTTGAGGCTGAATAATTTATTTTCTTTCCCTTCTCCCCTTTATTTTTCTCTCATCCCAGATTATTTTATTGGCTGTGAAGAACCACGGACCTTTTGTGTCCTGATGGGGGACTCGGGATCCAGACGAGCGACTCTTGTGTCTCGGTTGCCGATATTCAGGAGAAGCGTTAGCCGGAGACACGACTCCCTGCCTTCCTCGCCTTCTTCTGCCAATGCCATTGGTGTCCACACCTCCTCTCCATCCAGCACTAACTCCAGCTCAGGGAGCACAGGAAAGCGCCGGAGTATTTTCCGCACTCCTTCCATTAGCTTCCATAACAAGAAAGGCAGTGAGCAGAAGCCTGACTCAGCGAGTCAGAATGTTAACATCTCAAATGGTGCCCAGTCCTCTCTGAGCACTTTTCAAAAACTCAGCTTAGACGAGCACATAAAAAGCAGAGGAAGGCATTCAGTTGGCTTTGGCAGCTCCCGTAACAAGAAGATAACAAGGTCTTTGACAGACGATTTTGAAAAGGGAAAGGAGCCCTCTGCTAATAAGAATGTCTTTATCAATTGCATAAGCTCTGGGAAGAATGAGGGTGACGATTCAGGCTTTGCAGAAGAGCGAAGCCGATATTCCGTCAAACAGTCCACACGAAAACTTCTTACTAAATCTTTTTCATCACACTACAAATTTTCCAAACCAGTTCCAGAGAGTCAGTCGGTTTCCTCCGTGCAGCAGCCCAGGTGCTTTCTGGAAGTTAAATCCTACGTGGAGAGCGAACCTGTGATGGCCAAGTCGTCTCCTCCGTGCTCGGCTGAGACGACGGAGTGCATGGGCAGCTCCCTGCAGTCCCCGCTGCTCTCGGCTGACCTCACGGCTGCCCAGACCCCCTCGGACTTTGTTGCTCTGACCGAGGACTCTGTTTCAGAGGCTGATGCCCTGCCCAGCAGTGTGCCTGGGGCACTGCTTGCAGAGGATTTTGGCCACGATGTCTCTACCTCTCAGATCTTCTTTAATCCTGCTGCTGCTCCTGCGAGGGAGATGGATACTGTACAAAGCACTGGTCGTTCTGCTGGTGTATCTCCTGTGAGTCATGCAAGCTCGTGCAGCGTGGAATCCAGTACCTTATTCAAAACCTCAGTTCCTAATCAAACAAAAGTGCTGTTGCAAGCCAATGGACTACATATAAATGATGCCAGGCACATAGAAAAAATTAACTCAGAAAATGCACATCTAGAAACCTTGACGTTACAGCATAGTGAAGAACCAGTGACACTCTCTCCAAAGGCATGGGCCTTAAGTGAGAGCAGAGATGAAAGCACTCCATCCAAGCACATAAGAGACGCAATTCCTGTAGTGGAGTCGAAGACTGTTCCATGTTCTGAACCTCAGTCCCTTAAAACCCAACAGGGTTATGAATCAAACCATCCTAAAGGTATGTTTCATAGTCTTTTCATTTTTGAGTTTGGTGAGTTTTGGGGGTCTGGCCTCATTTCTTCTATAATGATTGTTTTGTCATGAAGTGTTTATCAGAATTGCAAGTGCTAGCTATGATATTCAGAAAGTAGAACCTTTTTTTTTATGCATTAAATGCAAAGTTTATTAGTTTTTTGAGTTTGTGTTTTAGTGTTTGCAAACACACATCAGTGCTGTTCGTGGCTGTGCTTTGTTTAATAGAAAATTAATTAGGAATGCAAGTATTGACTCCCAGCAAAGCTGTGGTTTCTTGAGACATGGCTATTTTGGACTTGAACCATGGGATAGCATAATCTGGGATGGAAGCATCACCAGAGAAACAAACATTCCTGTAGTCTGATTATGGGAAATAATACAATTGAGTTTATATTGGTCTGGATTTAAACATTTCTAGAGTCTTGCTTTCTCTATTCAACTGATATTATAGAGTAACTCAGAGTGGATATCTTGTCAAAGTATGAGATACCCTGTTTCTGGTTTCATCTGAAATAAGTGTCCAAATTCTCATTTTGTCATCTGTGGAACTGAGGGAGTTAATTATCATCTAAATTTCACACAGAGTCTTTAGTTTATGAAGAGTGATTTAAAATCGGAAATACTAACAAGATTAAGTGGAAAGACTGTGCCTAGAAATCCCAATCTATAGAGATACAGATAAATAATGCACCAGGCCCTTGAGTGAAGGACACCTGTCAGAAGACATTTATCTCTGACAGTTTGTTTTCTTGAGCCAGCTTAATGACTGGTGCTTTCTTGCTTAATTCTGAGGCTGTATGTGGTGAGCCAAAATTTGAGGGTTAACAAGACAGTATTTGTAGTGATTGTATTAGAAGATGAATGATGGTAAGTATAAACTCATATAAATTCACACCCATCATTCTGCTTGGATATTTATCTAGGCGTGTAGATTATAAGCAGTCAAAAGCAATCTTGCTTTTTGAATTATTAGTCACTGCTAGGCTTAGTTGGAGATCTTGTACATAAATGGCAATAGAAAGTCAAATTAATCTACTGAATTAGCTTTCGCCAGAGGGAACCTCTTTCACTTGGAGCCTCAGTCACTTTGGGGAAAAAAAATATTATTTATCTGTTCTATCCATTTATCTATATTACTGGTCCTGAGCACTCAGTTTGTCTTCTTTGCCACACTGTCTCATCCGTGAATGAGCTCTTATTCAGAATCTGCCTTGCTAGAGTATACTGCAGAACACCAAGTGAGCAGCTTGGGGGGATGTTTAGAAATACTCACTGTATTTCAGACTCATGCATTGGCAATTGGATATTTAATCTGTATTTCAGTAAAGCAGCTAAAGGAAGTTGAAATCATGACAGAGAGATGTTTGTAAATTGGATTCATGTTCACAGAAACACTAGAGCTAATACTGCACTATGTAGAAGTTGATGATTAATTGTTCTGTTTTTTTAGTGCTGTTCAAAATAGTTTTTGTTTTTCTGGTGTTGTGAAGAATGTATTCCAAATTAGAAATTGGCCAAGTGTACAAGGGAACCACTGAAAATGAGATAAAATCCTACCATATGAAATGAGTCGAATACAGAAAAAGCTTACATGGCACTCAGTAAGATATGGTTATAAATACTTACACCTGTTGCAAACAGACTGGATTGAACATTTGGTTTTCTAAAACAGTATTTAAACCTAAATTTGAACACAAAATATTTCTATGCATTTTCTTTGGTAATAGATATTTTCTCTTCTGTACCTGGTCTCATAGCAGATACCATTATAGATAGCATCGTGAATGTGACGTTAACTTATGAGCAGGTTTGATGTGCCATATGTTTCTTAGTATATACCTTTATGCATTTTTATGTGATAAGGATTTTTTTTTTAAGAACTCTTAGGGAAAATGTCTCTTCTCTTGCAAAAGAAGGTAAGATTTTCTATATGTGTGGCATTTATTATGCTATTATGCTTTTATGTTTCCCCATTTCTAAATCTGCCTTAACATGTCAAAATGTATTTTTTTCTCCTCTTTTCTGGTGTTATTCTTTTAACTGGGCTGGGATTTTGCCCACTGACTGCAGGCTGAGTTTAGAGGGTGCAGGTGTAAGACTAAACTAGGAATGCTGAACAGAAATAGAAACTGATTTGCATCCCTGTCTTATGCAGAGGTAACAAAGTTGTCACCTGGCCCTTCAAAAGCTGGACTTGCCTTTGGGCATAGGGTAAGGCAGGTTGTTTTTTGGCACCACTGGACAAATTTCTCTCTTAGGTTTTCAGCAATTTGGAAGTATCCATGGTGAGGGGAGAAAGAAACGGATGGAGCAAAGAGTCCTTCTGGATTCTATGGGGAGTCCTGGAGTGGGCTGTAGTGTGCTGAGCATGCCTGTCATTGGGGTTGAGCAGTGAGCTGAGGGCCCAGGTGACACCTTTATCTAGGTGAGCACGGTCTGCGTTCCACAGAACCTTTCTCATGTGAACTCGGTTCAGTGTAATTATTTCAAGCAAAGCAGTGTTCTGATTAGGAAAATATTTGTAGAGAGCAATTCCCTGTAACAGTTGCTGGTTGCTTCTCTCTTTGTAGTTGATCTTGCCAGTAGCCTCAGTCCGTACCGGGAAGGCAGATTTGTTGAGAAACGGCTGAGGTCCTCTTCAGAAGGTACAGCTGGGGGCAGCCGGCTGATCATAAAACCAAGGGATGGAAATGCAGAAGAGCTTAACAGCCTAAGGAAGCAGAGAGCAAGCTCATCCTCTTCCAAAATGAACAGCATGGTGAGTTTTATTCCCACATGCCTAAGCTGATGTTTTTCTCTGATTGGTGTAGCTATAGTGAGAAGCAGTGACTTCACAGATTTAACAGTAATAAAGAGGGCAGGAGCTGTCTCAGGCTTCCATAATGTGATCTAGGCTCAGCTTCAGATATTGGAAGCATTTTTTGCAGGATGTGGTACTGTGAAAAGGTTTGTGTACTTTCTGGCAAGAGTTTTTTGGTGACATGTGTTGGTGATTTGCTTGAGCTATTAAAGCATGAAGCTTTTCATGTTTCTCTGCTTTTGCAGGAAGTTTGCATCCAAGTATAAGTGAATAAAATGTAATTTTTTTAGAGCCAGAAAGAATGTGATAACCTTTAAAGATGCTGTTTCATGTAGGCATACAAAGCATTACACAAATGGATTTTATGCCCTAAAATACTGATTAACCATTGCTCAGGCCTGTGAACCTTTTTTGGCTTGTTAGACCCAAGCTGTTAGGGAGATCTTCATGTTTATTTAAATAGTAGGCTACACTGATGCTGTAGCACTTTATTCTGTTTAGCTCTATATTAATGGTGGAAGTGGGAAGGTGACAATCCGGGAAAAACAGGAAGTAGAGAACGTGTGGATGGGATTAGGTGGTAATATGATCCTTTCCTTGTGTTTTGTTTATAAAATCTATGAGCTTTTTCCCCCACTGCCATTAGCAAAAAGCAAAATTGTCCACAGATTGACATGATTTGCTTATGCTTATTGGCATTACAGTCACACACCAAGGACTTCTAAAACAGGATTAGAGAGCAGGCTCATGAGTGAAGGTAGAATTATTCTTGCTCTCCCCCCAGTACGTATGGATATTAAGAAAACAGGAGATTTTTAGTAAAAAATGAGGTTTAGGAAGTAAATCAAATGAAACCAAACCTGAAAACACCTTTTCCACCCTTTCCTCCCCACAAACAACCAGAAGACAAAAGAATAAACCTGAGTTTTCCGGAAGCAAAAGAAAAAAAAAAATACTAAGAATTTGAACGTTCAGAGTAATACATATTTGAATGGTAAAAGGCCTCTTCAAGATACTTGTCACAATCATTTAATGTTTAACACTGCAGTAGCAGATTGCTACCAATGAATGATGCTAATGAAGAATAAATACTAGGTAAAGAATTGGTGTTACTACACAAAATATTATGAAAAGCCTTAACCTAACTCTCATACGTGGCTAGAACATCATGAGTCACATGGCTTTCTGTATTAATTTTGTTCAGTTCTGGAGAAAAATGAACCACAAACATTTAAGGGATGTCAAATCTCTGGGGCAGAGCTGAGGCCCCCGTGGCAAGGGCAGCATTGCTGTGCAGTTCTGCTCTGTGGCTGTGGCTGCTGATGCAGGTTTTCTGGCATCACCCAGGTGTCTTGTTAAGCTGAAGAAACTGTGTACCTGTATATTTTCCCCAGCTGGTATTCTTTTCCTGTTGGCAGGCAGTGTGAGCTGCTTCTGCTTGAGGGACTGGGAGTGAGGAGCCAGAAAGTCTTGCTGAAGGGATGCAAGATTTTTCACAGGAGACAGGAAGTAAAAAAATAAATTAGCATCTGAGAAGTTGTTTTTTATCCTAAACATCTTTCTCAGCAGAGTATGCTTGCATAATTGTCAGGTTTTTTTTGAAGATGACAGGTAAAAGTTTGGTTCTCAGACCAATGCTGTTTGTAAATGAAAGTTAGTGAAGAGAAAAATCTTTTGAAATAACTCTGCAAACGTGCCAATTTCGTAGTACTGTAAATAATGATGTGGAACAAATGCTTGAGGTGTATTGGATTGCCAATTATGTGTTTACAAAGGTGCTCTTCTTGCAGTGGCCGATTTCTGCTACAAGAGGGCACCGTTTCACCAGAAATGGTTTTGGAGAGCGTTTTGGAATGACTCGTCATTCTAATGCTCCAGCAATGAACTCATGAGTTAACAAATTCAAATCTTTTGACATAACATATAGACTAGTTAACTATGTCTCAGAAGGTTGGTAGAAGTTGTGCTTCACCTACTGTTTCTAACTAGGTGATTCTACTTTTCCAATGTGTAAGAGAGACAAGAAGAAAGGAAATGTGAATCGGCACAGGCAAAAGACCTGAATGATCTGAAATATGCAGTCCTGCAAGACCAGTGAAAAGTGTAAACGTGTAGTTGACTCAATGGGAATTAGATTTACCACATTGAAAAAAAAACCCCAAAAAACAATCAGACCATCAAGTTTGTTCTTTAACGGGATTAGGAGACAGAACAGCAGGGGAAAAAAACTTGATGTGTAACATTACTTGGAACTAAGAGAAAGTGAGATATGAGTGAGCAACAGAATTATCTATCGCTTGTCATAGTAGTGGCTAATATGGAATATCACATTTATCAGTACAGAGACAAAAAGTTAAATTGTTTTTAATGTATGATAGAGATTTTTAAATGCTAGCAAATTAAAGTCATTAAGACCAGATAGTCGTGAAGGATGATATGAATGGAAGTAACTGTGCAGTACTTCAAGTTTAAAAAAACCAAACTTGAGAGCATAGTGGGAGCACCTAGCTCACACTGCCCAATTTAAAGACATGAGTTACACTGTGCTGTATGCATACATGTGTTTTCACTCTGCCTAGAAATATAGCTGCATATGTGTTGTGGATCAAGACTGCCCACTTATATTTGGCTCTTGCAGATCTGCCCTTCTGCCTCCCTGCTATTCTTTACAAGAAAAATAGTTATTTGTCTTTACAATTGTACCCTTGCCCACACTTGTCTATCAGCATATGTACTACTTAACTAAAAAAACCCCTTATTTTTCAACTTCTTGTCTCAGTGGGTGAACATTATGTTCTGCAGGACTGTGTTTCTCTGGCCACTCTTTAGCTGTTTTCTCTTCAGTTTCTCATACTTGCATCTTTTCTAAGTGTTCTCTGTTTCTTGCATCTTAAATTCAGCTTCAACTTTTCACCCTTGCAGGTAAAAACTTTTGTGCTTGCCCTCAGTGCTGCATCATCAGCTTCCTTTGCCTGGAGCAAAGCAGCCTTGCCGCCTGTGCCAGCCCAATTAGAGCAGCACAACGTATTTTTCTGGATTGTTGCTTTGAGTGTGCCATTTCTTTCTTTGATCTTTACTGTGGTTCCTATCTATTAGATATAAAACCAAGGACTTTTGAGGCCTAAGTACATCCCAGCCTTTTCCCCTTCAGCTTTAAGAGTGGCCCTGTTGCCATGCCGTCAAATAATTGCATTTGTGTTTTCTCCCATACTGCCTATCATGCACTTGGATAACTGCAGTTACCACAACATTTGCTTCATTTCCTTTCTCAATTTTTACTCTATTTTTTTGCCTTGCCTAAAGATAAATTTTCAAGGTGCATGCTGGTACTGTGTTATTAAGGTTTTTACTGAGCTTTTTTTGGCTTACCCATCCAGTGCTGATGCTTAGCCAAAATCCCCCTTTTCTCACACTTGTCCTATGCTTGTTATGTGGGGATGCTCCAAGTACTGAACATTTCGGTAAATGTACTTGCAGCATAAATTACAAACAGTGAATGCTAAACCACGTGTCAGAATACAGAACAGTATTTAATGGGCAGGAATTCAATTTGATAATGGAATTAATTGAATATATTAGTTAAACATTAAGTTAAAAAAATAATAATTTACTAACTTAGTATCAAGGGGCCATGTGACATTTTGGGAATATAGAATAAAAGTAAATGATTGACACAGGCATATGCTTGCAAAAGAGAGAATAACTGCAAATATTTGAGACTCCTAGTGTGTCTGGAGGGAGCAGAAAGTCAAAGCAGAGGTCGCTAATGAAAGTATGTTATGGCAAGAACATCTGTGATAATTATCCAATTAGCAGCTGGTGTCTAAATTGTGGCTGGTGTTGTGGATATTGTGTGTGTGTAATGCTACCTCAGTTTTGTTACCTAAGTGATTTGGGGTGACTTAGAAGTTAATAGTCTGGTTTCTAGTATACTTCAGAAATAGTACTTGCAATGTACTTGGAGCAATTATCCAAACCACTGTACTAAAATCTCTTTCTGTGTTTGATATTCTACCTTATCAGGCTACCCCAAAACCTGTAGCTCATGGAAGTGTGTTTATTGCTTCTCACAGATAGATTTATTTTTAATGTTACCTGAGTACCCTTATTTATTATCAAGCACCAGTTTTAATCCAGCTGCTACATCATGACAGAAACAGCAGGATCCTTTGCCCCTATGGACTTCAGTGAATGTACATGAATAAGGGCTAAAATGTTTTTTATGTTCCTCTTGCCTATGCTGAGTTGTATGATATTTTGCTGATGTATTATTTAGCACAGAGTATGAATCAAACTAGGTTGGCTGCTAGTCTAGAGAGAATTGAAGTAATTGTCATATTTGCTTGAGGTTACTTCAACACTGACCTTCTGGAAGCTGTGTTTTTTACTCAGTGTATGGCTATTACATGAGGTGGAAGCTGCTATTGAAAATACTTGAGTTGAATGTGTTTCAGAGGGTGACCAATGAGTAGATTTGAAGGTGGAGTTGAATGTGGCTGTTTTTTGTGACCCATAAATGTGACCTGTAAAGGCCTGATAAAACCCTGTGGGATATGTTCTTCTTCTACAGGCTGGCGTTAATTATTAATGCCTGGAAAGGCAGTGAACGAAAGGTTAGAGCGAGGATTTGAGTGCTCAGGGCTTCAGTTCAGGTTGAAAAAAACCCTTAAACAAAACAGCCTTTTTCAGATATGCCAAGACTGTTACAAAAATATGAACTAGATAAGCAAAATGCGCACACTTATTTACTGTCTTCTGTGCAACCTTCTTTAGAACTAGCAATGTTATGTATGCTCTGAATTGCTGCAGCCTGTTTCTTTAACTTGCTATAGGGTGTATTATCTCAGGTATCTGTGGTGTTCATGAAAGCTTTGTCTTGATTAAAATAGATATGCCATTCTTTTTGTGTCACTGAATTACAGTATTTCTGCTTAATTCAAATTCTTCTCTGCTATGCT